CCCCCCCCCCGAGGGTTGCATGGAATCCTTTGGTTCCTGGCCAATATTCACCCCAGCCTTTGGAAAGGCAAAGCAGCTGGCTGGGGGCTGAGCTTGCAGGTCAGGCATCTCCCAGGGCCTAGAGAGCCCTCCAGGGTAAGGCTCAGGGCGTGAGGACTTGGAAAGGACGCCAATGGGGGGCTGTCAGCTCTGCAAACGGAGAGGGCCACTGCCCACGGCTGCCCCTTCCCTGCTTTCAGGAATATGATCCGTGGAAATCCTCCGACCGGATCTGCCGGCAACTGATCTACCACTTGAGTCCACATTCCAAATGGCATCAATCTGGGCTGCCCCATCACAAATCCCACAGCAGGTGAGCAGGAATGGTGGGCTACAGAAATCCTTGGCTGGTGGTAGCAGGAGACAGAGGACACCAGTTTTGGAGGGTGTGATATGCACTCAGTTCCCACAACAGATGAAATCCAAAGTAAAAAAACAAGCGGCCTTCGAAACATATCATAATATGACATAATGTGATAGCCTAGTTCACACAACATGATTCGACAAGGCCTGGATTTCCACCCACTACACACTGAACCACAAATTGTGTGAAGCTGGCTTCTCTAGAATCCTTGCTCCTTGCTTTGAACACCCCTTCTTCTTGTTTCAAGAACCATGGTTACTGACTTAAATAATTGCTTGCAAAGACAAAAGCTCAGCCAAAGCCGCCCCTCCCCCTTGTCATTCTGCCCCTCTTTGGTCAAGGTGAGCCCCCCTCCCCAGGGCCATTCCCAGGCAGCCAGAACACAGAGCAAGCGCAGCACACAGCTCTCCCACCTCGGCAGAAGGACGGGAAACTGGATCCAGGGGGTGGAACAGTTGCAAGCACTTATTTTGGATCTGATGCTGCAATCCCCTCCTCCGCTCCAATCTTGGGCCAGAGGACAAAAGTTACTCAAACTCCTTGACCGATGAGCATCTACCAATGAAGAGGGACGGCTTGGCCAGAGTAGCTGGCTCACCCTGTAGGAAACCATAGTGATGCCAGACTAGACCACCCTACAGCAATGCCGTCATGCAAACGCTGCCTCAGGGCACTTGAAACCCAAATCCACCCCAAGCAGACCAGCTGCAGCATTTGTGTGATGTGGTCCATTGTGTATTGTCCCCCTCTGCACACCCCAGGTTTTCTGGAGCAGCCATCCTTCTGGAGCACCTTCCTCTCTTTTCCTTCTTCTCCTTTAGTCTGAAGAGCAGCCTGCAGAAGAAGCTCAGCCAGGAAGCCATCCATCTCTCCGGGGTCCCTCTCTCCCCACGCGACATCCAGCATCTGGCCAGCTACCTGCAGGACAGTGGGGACCACCTTCTCACCGTCGACCTGAGTTTCACCGACCTGAAGGATGAGGAGATGCGCTTCCTGATGCCTTTCCTGTGGTCGCTGCCCAGCCTCACCCACCTCTCCCTCAATGGGAACCACTTGACCCGAGCCACTGTGAAGGACCTCACCGACACCATGAAGGACATGGCCAAATTTCCCTCCTTAGCCTGGATCGATCTGGGCAACAACGTGGATGTCTCCTCCATGCCGCAGCCTCTGCTTGTTGGCCTACGGAAGCGACTCAGCCAGCAGACCACGCTGCCCACCATTTACGAATCCTTGGGCTGCACTTCCGAGGCATCCAGCGAGCCTGAGACCAGCCTGCTGGAGGAGGAGGAAGATTTGCAAGGGGAAGAGGAGATCCCGCCAGTGGCCAAGCACCGCTTCCACCAGCAGTCATGTGAAAGGTGACTGGAGGTGGAGGTATCCTCTAGAAGACTGAAACCACTGCAGTGGAAGCTCTGATGGAAGAGATGCCGCACCAGGCCTCACCTGCCCACTTCCTTGAGCCCTTCCTAACTTTTCTGACTTGCTCCCCTTACCCCGTCCTCTTCCTCCTAGCCGGGTTTTCTCACATGCACCAAATCAGGCCAGTTACTTACCATGATGCCACAAAAGGAGACCATCCGGAGATGCAGGGGGTGGCTGTTGTGGGGAGGCGCATGGAGCAAGCCAGCCCTGGGCCCATCCTTTCCCAGCTGTGCTGGGTCCACAGGCCCAGAGAGCCGTGAGAGAATGACATGGAAAGACTGAATGGAGGCCGAGACAGCACCAGGATGGCACAGCTCGCCTCCTCCCCCTCCTCCCCTCTGAACAAAGGGTGGCGGAATGTGAGGCATGCCGGTGTCTGCAGCCCAGACATGTGACTGATGGCACTGCAGGAACTCAAGGGCAGCTGGACATGGGTTGTGCAGGTGTTTGTCAGGGGGGGGGAGGCTGTTTGAAGCATCCCCTTCCCCCCGTGTGTTTCTGCTCTTCGTGGACGTCTGCATTCAAAGGCCTCTGTGCTTTCTGCTATCGGGCTGGGTTGGGAGCTCTGCTTTATGCCCAGGAGGAAACAGTAACCTGGGCAAGCCCAGTTCAGCAGAAATACCTTAGGGTGTGTGATTTGTGATAGTAAATGACTTTCATGGAGAGGATGAAAACATTGTTCAGCACTTTGTTGGGCAATTATTTGGCAGAGCTGCAGAAGCCTTGTGTTCTCTAGAAACTCCTGTTGAGATGTTCCCAACCTGTTTCTTCATTCTGGGTGTTCCCTCCTTTTGCCACCATTTCATTCAAAAGGAAGAATGTGCACATTTTCAACTGTGCCTTGGTGCCAGAGAAGAGCTTTTCTCATCCATCTAGTACAAGGATGCTTGGATTTAACATCTCTTGCAAGGAAGACCAGCAACCTTCCTTCATGGAGAAAGGAGAAATTGGCTCTCCTCCATTTAATAATAGAAAAAAGCCTCTCCCCCATAATCAATCTGGGGTATATTAGACACAAGTGGGCTTGCAAAATGCATCATTCAATTAGAGATTAATATCTGTGGCTCAGACTCGAGAGAGAAAACAGGACACTCTGAAGAATCTTTTAAGACAAAATGAACTCCCAGAGAACTTGGGCCATGTGATGAGGATTCAAAGCACCCTTTCTGCTCCTGGTTGGTTTCATTACAAAGTGTGGCCATTTATGCACACCTTTGGGGTTCCTTCCACACAAGCCCCCTTTTGGAATCCATATCCTGTAGATAAAAAACTTTTATGATGCAAATAAAGTCTCTCTCTCCCCCTCAAAAATGCAATTTTCTAAGCCTTGGGCAGCCATTCTTGAACACCTGAAAGGCTTATTAGAAGTCTCTGATAATAATTTAAGAGATTGGGCTTCGAGGGGAGGAGCTGCCGCCGTCGGGAGCTTAATAAAGCTCCTGCCAGGACTCTG